TCTCGACTACGCGACATACAATGCTCACTATAGTACCAGCCTTCATCTCGCCACCATCATGAGTTTGTTAGCTCTGAACGACGATATCCTCCGTACCATCGCCGAAATGCTTTCCGCCGCGGAATGCATCCCTCTCTCGTCGGTATCTCGCGATCTACATGCAATCGCACGGCAGTATGTGTTCGCATCCATCACTGTTTCGCGAATGGACCAGCTCGTCCCGATGCGCGACCACCTCATCCGTAACATCGACAATCGCCTGATCTGGCCTCGGGAGTTGAGTATCCATTACTCGATGACAATGAGGCGGCCCGCGGATGCAGCTATCGATGCGCTGGTAGGCATCCTCGAGCACGCCCGGGAGCTGAAGGTTTTGGCGGTCCGCAATTGTGAGGAGTTGATTCACCGCGATGCACGGGTCGGGGAGCATTTGGCCGCACTGCCAAATCTCTCGGACATCCGCCTGATCAGTATCGGGACCAAAACGCTTGACGTCCTACGCAAAATGGTCAGCAGACCGGAGCGAGCTGTGCTGTCGGCAGCTCTACACCATCAAGCTCCAACAGACATTGCTCGGTTACCCGCGCTGGACAACGTCAAGGAGCTCACACTCGATCTCTTTCGTGCAGCATCTCAACCGCAGCATCTTTCCAGCTTTGCCGGGGCCTATCCACAGATAGAGATTCTGTGCATTCACGCTAGCGCCGTGTACCCCAGTCTCATTCTGTTTCCCAACGTACGGAAGTTGACACTGTGCGGCAGTACTAGTGCCCTCTGGGAACACAACCTACCAGTCGCTGGCCATCGCATGAAGCGACACTTGGACTACTTAGACGTTGCGACAAAGGATCTACCTATCATCTCGACCCTAGGCATCCGAAGTGATTCACTACATATAAATATCCGTTTCGATTCCCCGGAGGTAGATAATACCGAACTTGTTTCTGCCGCTGCCGTCCTGCGGTTGCACTTGCAGCAGTCCGGATGTGACGAGCGCTGCGTGGCATTGGCGCGGATGGTTTCAACCAACTCGTCAAGAGTACGGTACCTTGTGTTGACGATCAATTCCCCGTGTCAAGACCTGCCCTTAGTGGTGACCCAGTGGATTGTACGTGATGCCTTTTTCCTGCCTCCACATGATTTCCTCGATATATATTTACATTTGCCAACATAGGACAACATTACCCCTTTGCTGTCGTCTTCGCAGCTCATTTGCATACGGGTCCATCTGGTTCACAGAGATCAGGTTACATGGGAGCGAGGGGACGCGCACCGCTTCCTGCAGCTGCTGGAAGGCGCTCACATATCCGCAATACCCTCGCTTCGGTTCTACTTTCAAGGACGTGGCGAAGGGGGCATAGACGATCCCTCTGTGATAACCTGGGGACGGGTTGAGGGCGATGAAGGCCGTCGCACGGTGCAACTGATCCCCAATTGGCAGGGCGAGAGGATCCACCGCTATCTGCAGTCTTCGGAGTTCTGTCGTACGTTACGATTCGACGGTGAGTTGCACGTTCAGGGAGCGGTGGAAAAGGCGGCTTACCTTGGCATACAGAGGTAGCAGCGCTGCATTACACCGGCCGGTGAATGCGAGGGAACTTGAAGGCAGTTCTAGAATGTCAAGGGTGCTTGGAAGCTGTGTGACGGAGCCCGATCATTGCACTGGGTGTCTTCGCGGCTTGTAACATGATGATGCCTGAAGGCTTTCAATACAAATCTCAGTTCGTCGTCGATCTCGAATGTCATATCACACTCACCGTGTATGCTATCGACAGTTCGAAAGCTCTCGAGCTGACTCGTCTGACGATGGGTATGATGCCGCCCAACGCCCGCGTCTGGTTGCTGGCCATCTGTTCTCGGTGTCTTGCCAGCGGAGAGCCTGAGGGTCAACCCGTCTGCGCGAGTCCCAGACATGACTCGGAGATGTCCAGTAGCTCGACACCAAGCACGATAAACACACCGACATACCGAGCTAGCCAATCGTCAAGCAGTAACCACGTGTGCAAGCATAGCCAGCCTTCTCAGTCAGGAAACGTTGACTGGTCAGCTTTGTCGTCGCATCTTGTATCAAAGCTCATTTTCGACTTTCTCACAGCAGCGCTTTCGTCATCACAGGTTACAGCGCACGAACTTGTGAAGGGCTTACCTGTCGACGTCGCAGTGAACGTTTGACCTCGCTGTATTTAACTTCGAGCTCGTCGTCGCATGCCCTGGGCTACGGGCGGTGCTCACAGCGTCTCGGACTGCCGTCTCAGGGTGAAACTCATACGCGCATGTGCGAGACAGACGGGACGGCGGTGAGCTCTGGTCCGTCCTTCAAATCTTCAGAATCCAGACAGACTGTGTATTTCAGGGAACGGCACCCTGTACTGGTGGATATGCGTTGTACAGGGTGTATGCGTCGCGGGGAACTGCCCCCGCCAGTTCTCTAGAGCCCTCTTCCCAGTACTCTGTTCCGCACGTGTCGCACTCTCCTGCGCCCCGCCGGTGCACGTCCGACGTTGCTGTGATACAGATAGCCACGGAGGCACTTTTCCCCCGAGGTCATTGCTATCGCTCGCGTCCGTACAGTGTCCGTTTGCCATCCGGACTGTGTACATAGGTACAGACGCGTGTGGAATTGGGCGATATGATTTGCTCCTGCCAAGCCTTCGTTCGTCGCTCGAGCGAAGACAGCTTCTGATAGGGCGTTCGAATGGGGTCTGGCACGCAGAAACGTACTGTGAAGTCTCGCGGCCGCTCTTTGTGCGCGAAGCCAAAACGAAGGGCGTTGCCTGGGTCTGCATGGAGCCGTCGGGGATAGACTCGTGGTTCGGAGGCTTGCTCCAGCGGAAGGACCTCCAACCCCGGGTAAGGTACGACATCTCTCCACGGACGTGATCAGTTCTGACGATTCGAGGGGCCTGCAGTGGGGCACGATGATTCACCTCGACGCAGTGAACGTAAACAGGCAAGCCTTCTTGTCATCCATCGTCAATGCAACCTCAAGTACCTCCGAGTGCGAGTCCCACCCGCTACATGTCCCGCGCCGAGCCACTGGCACCAATTGCGGATCCCACCTCGAAGCGGGATTACTGGCTGGGATCACACACATGGATCACAGGCAGCTCAGGCTGGCAGGGCGCTGCCGTTGACACGAAGGTCGTCGTGGGCGAACGCAGGCCGTGCGTTCATACCGACTGAATGGGAGAAGCGCCTCAAAACAAGCTCGTTCAAGCTCCGAACGCCGCCCCACAGTTCCTGCTTCGACCCCGGGCCAAGTCTAAATGCTAGAGCCGTGCCAGGGCGCGCGCGTGCACTCATGACTGGAATGTGGGCGGCGTGACCGAGTGCTTGACAGGACTCCCAGGTTCATGTCGATGGGAACGTCCCGGGTCGAAGGCGTCCGGCACGATCGCTCTGCGCTATCGATGGCGGGCCTCAGGTGATGGTCGGACATGAAGACCCTCGAATGGGTAAACCGCACGCTTGACCGGTGACCTGGTGGCGATGTATGAATGGATGTGGAGGATCGACTCGTTGACGCTCGACGATTTGCATAGGCAGGCGTTCTGAGCATGACATGTTCCTAGAGTGAAATCTATTATTCTACGGGGCATCGTTGATTGATGGTTCTGCCTACACGGCACAATGGAGTGGCAACATCCAAGACGTTGTTGCCAAAGCTTTCTATCTTGTTTACGTCCTTTGACGCCGTACGGTGAAAGACGTATGAGCACGTGTCGTGATTAAATTGCGCGCTTCCTGGTCGAGTTCAGCCACACTCGCAGTGTCGCACATCGTAGCGGCGCAAGCGCCGATCCCCGACTCCTGCATGGCACACAGCTACTCAGCCTGCCACAGCGGCACCATAGTATATAATGTATGTGTTGTAATATTGTATCATCGGAGACTCAATTGGAAGCCCTCAGGCCCGCGGAGAACAAGCCGTCCGCTGGGGTGGACTGTCCACGGTGGACTCCCGTGGACTCCACGACGCACGTGACGTACAAACAAAGGCGATAAGATTACAGCCTTTTACGGCGCAAGGCAACCTCAAGACCGCGCTGTACCCAAATGCAACGAGCTCTAGCAAGGGCAAATATTGCTGGAGGGTCGCAAAGAATGATCGTGCAGGGAGGGAAGGTGGTTGTAGCCAGCAAGGCCAACAAACCAGGTGAGTCCCCTGCTTGTCACCTCGGTCCGGTAGCTGACCCTGACAAGTGAATGCCCACCAAGGACGACCGAACTCAGACGAACGCGACGGAGACGGCCTCAGCACCCCGCGCGCGCATGCCCAACGAGCATGAGCGTGGTGAAGACGACCTGGTGCGCGCGTGCGCAAGCGACACAAGCCTGTTAGCGCAAACTCACCAGGTATGCGCCTGACGACTCACCGAGCCTCAACATACCGCGCACGGACCCGCTAACAAGAGCCATTGCCTGTGGATGGGATATATCACGCGCAGACGCGTACGGGCATCAGGAAAAAAGAGGAATGCCACATGAAGCAATGTAGCCTACATAGCTGCTGTAGCACCATTTGCATACCCCCTGTTATGTTGTACAGGGTTGTTTGGCTGCGTGGCTCCATAGCATTCTGTAGCATCCTGTAGCCACAGGTCCACATTCTATAGTTCACTGTTGAAGCAGCACCCCAGTCTATAGTTCATTATATTACCACCATACATGCTCAATGTCGTGCTCAAACCGAATCAATCGACTGCTACAGAGTTTATGAGGCAACGTAGAAATATATATTTTCACAACCTAACTACAGTACACATAACGAGAGTACAGCAATACATTACAAAACTAATGAACAGACAAGACGAGCAGTCTCCTCCCGCCATGTCGGCGAGATAACGGAGTGGATGGTGGTTAGCATTGAGCGAGAGAGATAAAGGAATGGAAGAGCACGAACACATAATCCAACGGCGGGCAGTTCATATCGGTGTCCGCGACTGCCTTGAGTGCATCTTGCTTGTGCTCGTCAACGGTCGGGGATACAGTACGCCCCTTCAACACCTCACACTGTTGTTGCCGGGGCTCTTCGGCGGTGATGGCAGTCCCTCGCACGTCCAGTTGATGGAGTCGACCTGTTTCCCGATAAGCAGTAGGGAAGTCGGAAACGAGAACAAGGGGAGATGGTGCATACGACCCTTCTTACGTGGAACAAGCTTGTACGCATGAGGTTGCCGCGTTCCGTGTCCACGATGCTGGCGTCCCTCAGGTGGCTGTTGTCAGACAACGGATCCACAGCGGATGACAGTGACTTGCCTTTCTCGACCGCTTTCTTCGCGACCGTCTCCTTCACGCACTTGTTGCGCAGCTTGACGGTGCTGTCGATGAGATTTGTCTCGACAGACTCGAGCATCTTGCACGCCTTCACCTGGTGTTCGTACAGGTCTGGCATGTACTTGATGTCTCTGTTGAACAGCGGGCCGCAAGACGAGGGAACACGGTTTGAATTCACACACCTGAACCATCCTTCTATAGCGTCGTGAGCCGCTCCACCGTCCCACACGTCCTCATACAGAGAAGACGGGCATCTAGATTCCAGTCATGCGATTGTACGAATCAGTGCGATAGTCACTACGTCGCCATGTCGCCGTCGCGCTGGCAGGCTGCGCCAGTGCCCTGCTATGACAACGTGCACCTACTTCACTAAGCACGTAGTTCAGACTCACCTTAAAGCCCATCGACGCGAGGAATACTAGAGCCGCATCAGGGTCTTGGGTGTTGTGGACGCTGAGAGGAGGAAGGTGAGGACGACGCAAGACGCCTCGCGAGCTCTCAAGTCCCAAGCGCCGGTTCCGGAGTTTCCCGCGCATACGCGGCTCGGGCTAGCGCCGGACGCGCTGCTCGCAATCGCGACTATGCTAAGTTGAACGCTTGCTCGACCGCGCCTCATACACGTCTTCGCCAACTTCCGCGTCCGCCACGTCTTCTGAAGCGTCCCGAGGGACAGCGAACACTCTGGGAGCTCCCCCTCTGCCTTCCCTTGACTTCGCATACCCGGTGACTTGCAACTCGGCCCAGCGATTTGGACTCACCAGTCACGACGCATGCGCAAGTCCAGTCGATACATTTACAGGGTGATCAAACCATCATGATCACGACGAGCGCGGGACGAGGAGGAGAGCGCGAAGCGAAGGACACGGATGGCAAGGTGCAGGACGAGGTGGGGGGAGGCCATGGCAAGGGCAAGCCGGGCGGAAGGTACGCCCTTGTCTATTGCTCATTTAATAGCCACTGCCCCGCAAGCAGGTACCTCGTAGACCGGTCGGGAATTCGTCGTAGTACCCACTCGGCCACACCCGCTCACCTGGTCATCCGCTCTCCCTTGACCGCCTGGCCGCTCGGCCAGTATCTGGTCGCTCGTTCGCTGGCGTCTGCTCGCTCGGTGCATCTATCATCTGCCTACTAGTAGTAGTAACTCATCCATGCCTTTTCCCACCCATCCGGACGTCCGCTTTCCTGCCGCATCGTTTGCCTGCCGCATCGTTTGCCTGCCGCATCTTTTGCCCGGCCGCCTGTCTCTTCGTTGGCTCATCCAGTGCTGATTTGTCTCCCGCTTCAAGTTGCTCGCTCGCTTGTCCACTGGCGCGCCCATTTGCCCGTTCACTAGCTCTCCCGTTCACTCGCTCGCTCACTTGGTCACGCGTCCTCTCGCCCGCGCGTCCATCCGCTCGTTCGTCCAGTTACTTGCGCGTCCACTTATTCGCGCGTCCACCGACTTGCCTGCTCACCTGACAAGATGGACGAAGAAGTGCCGACGTCGTGGCAGACTCGCAAACACGCCAGCAAGCATAAGTGTGCGTTGCCAGTGCTGCAATGAGGGCTACGAGGACATATCATCATCAATGTTTGCTGACGTCGATGGCCCGCTCGACGACGCCCTGCACACTTCCCCTGATTCCGAACTGGATGGCGACGTGGATGTCGAGGGAGAAGTGGGCGGATGGTGATATGGGACAGGAGCAAAACCAGGGCACCTGTCTGTATGTGATTTGAGAGTGCCGTGGTAGTTCATGTTAATGCATTGAAAAGCCTCGATAACCAGGACTTGTGTTGGTGTGCTGCCGTGTGATAACTTACAACAGTAGTGTACAGTCTTCATACAGTGTTTGTAGCGAGATTGGTGTCAATAGACTGAATTGTTATATATGTTCATTGCGATCATAGCAAGCATTGTGCGAGTTGTGTGACATGGCTACAAACCAGTCAATTGTATTGCTATACTGTTACCTAATCAGTCCATACAGAGCTATGGGTGGCTACCAGCCATGGCAATCTGGCTACAGTGTGCTATGTTGGCTATGTTGGCTACATAGCCTTTGGTGAGTGCAATGGGCTGAAAACTTTTTTCCTGATGGGTACGGTGAGGCCAGCTTGTTACACACCGACACGACATAAGCCCAGCACGACCCAACTCAGCAAGCAGGACCGCGATGAACAAGGGCCTGCCAGGGAGCCCATTCAGCTGTCTCATGGATGACCATGGTACAGCCGACGTGCAGTCTCGTGGAATGGGATGGGATGGGCCGACCTCGGCCGACCACAACCGTCTCATGGAAGGTGATTGAGTCGGCCGAGCACAAGGCGGGCAAGGCGGCACAAGGCGGGCAAGGCGGTGCATGGGATGATTGGCTGACCCAGACATTCTCGCCCAGCCGACCATTCTGTCTCACCCAAGATGATGCGCTATCCGACTGTCGGCTGGAAAAGCTTTGCAGCCGACCACTGTCTTGATCCAGCCGACCTTCTTGTCTCACCCAAGACAATGCACTATCCGACCGTCGGCTGCAAAGCTTTTGCAGCCGACCACCGTCTTGATCCAGCCGACCTTCTTGTCTCACCCAAGACGATGCACTATCCGACTCTCAGCTGGAGAAAATCTGTAGCCGACCACCGTCTTGATTCAGCCGACTGTCTTGTCTCACCCAAGACAATGCATGAGCCGAGCATCAGCTGAGGTATCTTTCCTGGCCGATATCCGTCTTGACTCAGCCGACCTTCTTGGACCTTCTTGACCTTCTTGACCTTCTTGACCTTCTTACTCACTAAGACCTTCTTGACCCAAGGTAACTAATGGTTGGCTCATCTTGGTCAATACCAACATGTTAATGAGGTATCTAGGTGGGCAAACACCAATGAGGTTTCAACGTGGAATGTGTCAAGGAGGATAACAAGATGGCGAGCATATTGAAGAAGCCTTCTTGGAGGTGTCAAGACGGACAAGTGAAGACAGATAAATTAAAACGGACAAGTTAAGACGGACAAATTAAGGCGGACAAGTTAAGACGGACAAGTTAAGACGGACAAGTTAAGACGGACAAGTTAAGACGGACATTGTCAAGACGGACATCTCAAGACGGACATCTCAAGACGGACATCTCAAGACGGACATCTCAAGACGGAGAGCTCCTTGGAGGTATCAAGGCGGACTGGTCAAGAAGCCTCCTTGACATTCACCGTCTTGAATCGTGATAAACTCCTTGACATTGACAAGGCAGCAAGTATGCATCTTGTTTCTTGACTCGACTTGAATGGTATGTACGTGCAACATTGTACGCTGTTTGCTCATTGGTTTGGGTCCAATGGTGTGGATGTATTATTAGACATGTCCTATATAAGTTTGTACCGTGACTGTGTCTACTATAGACAGTCATTACGGTGTTGAGGTGCAATACACCATGTAGTAACTGTATATCAGCAAATAGAGATACAATGGTAAGACACTGAGGTATTCCTTGTTCTGTTAGAGTGATTCCTGAATGGCTCGCAGCAATTGACAATGATGATACTTCGCTGATCTACTGAGTTTGCTGTGGAACTACATGTAGTAGATTAGGCAAGCCACTCACGTAGGCTATTAGCCTCATTGTTGTATATGTAAAGAGCACTTTGGCTTTGTGTAATCTCAGCTCATGCGGGAAGAGGATCTCAGGATATGTTTCAAAGATGATATGTTGTTTGGAGATATTGAGAGGCATGTGGGTTAAATCTCAGCTTCTGCAAGACAATTGTTCAATCAAGTACATACAGAAGTTGTATTCATGCTGTGTCTATGGTACATGTTGCTGCTGGCAATTCTCTGAAGCAATCTGGCAATGTTATAGCTTGAGATAGCTAAGAAGGTCATACATGGAGAGCATGTCTTAGACAAATGCACCCCACGGTTCAATTCTCACAGAATTCTATACAAGCCATGTACTACACATAGTCATGCTTGGTACAAAGTCTCATAGCATATGGTGGCACAGAGGTGAAGTTATAAAGAGAATGAGACCATCTCGGGTGACTCGGGGACATGGCCGAGGCAATGTCCGAGGGCAGAACACTGGAGAGTGTTCACGCATTTAGTGGGTGCTCTGACCACTATCATTGAGTTTGTGTACATATCTTCTAGTTGTCCACTCCTTTGTACTTCTATACTATTGAATGCTAATAGTGGTTGTACTGAACATATGATCATGATATCCCGAAGTCTATATCAAGTGTAACTGCAGTACAGTTACGAAGAGTGTATGTGCATGTTGGGCCAACTGACAATGAGTTTCATTGCTCAAAGTGAACCATCACATCCATACAGTGACAGAGTATGAATATGGCAGTCACGGTGTTGGCCATAGGCAAGCTTGACTGGAACTATATTGAGGAAGCCTTATAGCAACAGATTGCACTTCTTGTCCATGCTCTCTCTCGTCTGAAACTGCCCACAATGCTGTTAACAAGCAAATCTAGTTTATATCGGAAGCCTGATCTAGTTTGTAGGTTCTTACAGTTTTAGTACACCGAGACTTCAAACAGACAAGAAAGCGAGCACAACCAGAAGGAGAATGTAACGGTGGGTGATTGATAATGCAAGATGGCAGGTAGGCGTGCAAGACGGCGGGTGTGCAAGACGGCAGGTGTGCAAGACGGCGGGTGTGCAAGACGGTGGGTGTGCAAGACGGCAGGTGTGCAAGACGGTGAATGTATAAGATAGCAGGTGAGACATGCCGCACCCGCGACGAGCGTACCCGTATCCATGGGTGGTGCTACCTGTATCCTACCCCGGTTCACTGTGGGTTGGCATACCTCGGTGGTCCCTGCGCGGGTTTGAGCTCGTTGCCCGCACCCGCCGTCTTCGCCGTCCTCCTCGCTCGCCTAGGCTTGCTCGTCCCGCTTCTCACGCGCCATCCACACGTCCTCCCGCCTGCTCGCCGCTGTGCCCACACCCACGGCGCGCTCGTCCGAGTCGGTTGCGTTTGCACGCGGGGCGCTGGCCCTGTGTGCTCGTGGTCGACGTGTTCCGCACGCCCGGCCCTGTCCATTGACGTTCTTCTGTCCTGAGCTCGTGTGCGCGTGCTCCGTTTGTCGGCGGCCGTGCTTGTGTGCTGGGCATTCGCCCAATGCACTCGCCTTCGGCATGTCTGCCGTGGGCTGCCTGCTGGCCCGCCCGCTGGTCTGTCCGCTTTCCCGCCCGCCCGCTGGTCTGTCCGCTATCCCGCCCGCCCGCTTTCCCGCCCGCCCGCTTTCCCACCTGCCCGCTTTCCCGCCCGCCCACTTTCCCTTTCCCACCTGTCTGCCCACTGTCCCACCTATCCACTCACCTGCATGCCCCGTCCGCCTGCTTACCCCGGCACCCGTGAACCAGCCTGCCTTCCGGTGTCTCTGCTCACTCGCTTGGCTACTCGCCGTCTTGCCCGTCTACTCGCGCGTCCCCCTGCCCGCCCGCTGACCCACCCACTGACCCAGCCGCTGACGCGCTCGCTTTGCGCGTGTTCGTTGGCCGTGTTCGCGTGCTGGGTAGTTGCCCAGCGCGCGCACGGTCGGCGTGCGCTCCCGCCCGCCTGCTCGTCTGCCCGCCCCACCGCCGTTCATCGGCCATGTCTGCGCAAGAGGCATTCGCCCTGGGTACACGTGGTCGCCGTGTGCGTCGTGCTGCATGTCGCCGCCGCTTCCTGTGCCTGTGGTCAGTGAGCTCACTTGCGTGTGTTTGCACTCACGCGTAGCAGGCAATGCCCCTCGCCCGTCGTGCCCGTCGTGCGACACATCGCCGAGCGTCGCGTACCCGTCTTTTGCTCGCCCGTCTCACCACTCGTCCACCCCCACCCTGCTTACCTCTCGCATTCCTCCCGGCTCGTCGCTGTGTCCGCGCGCGGTGTGCTTGCATCCGGGGCAGTTGCCCTATGTGCGCTGTCCTCGCGTGCTGTCGCGCCTGAGACCGTGCATGGGGGTACTCACATGTTCGCCTCACCCGCATCCCCGCAGTCTTGACGCCGTCGTGGTGTTTCCGCACGCCCTTGTGGCGCTGCAGGTGGCACCCCAGACGGTAGGCCGGCGATATGGCAGGTGAGCAAGACGGCAGGTGTGCGAGGCGATGGGGGTGCAAGACGGCGGACAAGCAGGATGGCGGGTGAATAAGACGGCGCCGGGTGTGTGAGATACATAGCGGGTGAGACGGTAGACGGGTGAGACGGTAGACGGGCGAGACGGCGTGCGAGCAGGACGGCAGGTGTGTGTTATGGTAGACAAACAGGACGGACCGCGATCAGGACGGCAGTCGAGCGGGAGTATGCAGGCGATAGTGAGAGCTGACGCGTTGAAACATTGAACTTTCCGAGTGAACGCGCCTGAACGCGTGCCCGATCGTGACGCGCCGCGCTGCACTGCGCCAATTGATGCTTTGGGCATACAATGCTGCAGAGCCCAGCCGGCCATTGCCCAGTGCGACGCGTCACAATCAGGCATTCACCAGCAAGACGACGCCTTGACCGCGCCACCCGACGCTTTGAGCACGCAAGAAAAGCCCAGCCGACCATTCAAGTACTATTGATTCGGATCACTACGGTACTGTATACATCCCGCCCAGCCAAATGCATTATACACCTACTGATGTCGGTTGCACGATCCTCATCGTACAAGCCGACGCGTCGGCCGCCGTCGGCTCATGCGATGGTGTTCCGCGAGACTGCGCGTCGGCTGTAGGATGAGGATCGGTGAGAAAGCGCTGCTTGGTGTGTGCCAGGCACACTGGTACGTGCACTCGCGCAGCACACAAGAGCTTACCAAACAATCGCAGCCATCTACATTCACCCCGCTCTCTCATATGCTCAGGCACTTGGGCACCCATCTGTTTTCGCTCACCCGCTTACCCGCCTGGTCACCCACTCGGCTGCCTGGGAACCTGCCAGCCCATGCGATCAAGACAAACCTGCGAAGTCAGCGAGCACCGCGTGTGTTGGCGGACGTCCATTCGCCTCTGCCATGCAGGCGCTCGCTCTGTGCCCGCTGTGCACGAAGTCCGCGCCCACTGTGCGCAAACACGCCCACAAGCCTGGCCTTTCACGCCGACACCTTCTCAACGTGCTCGTGCTGCTCACACACGACAAACAGCATCCGCTGCTGCCCATCCTGGCCCATTACTGCCCTGCCTGTCTGCGGGCTCGCCCACGCACTTGCCCGCCCGCACATGCTTGCCCATGCACCTGCCCGCTTGTCCAGTACCCGCACACCTGTCCGGCACACCCGCCCACACGCCTCCTTGCCTCCTCGCTCGTCATGAGCGTATCATCATACTCACACCGATTTGGGACCAACATCATTTAGAATATATTAGGTTACTTCATTATAGTATCTACATGTACCCGGCGACACGAAAATGTGTATTTGCCTTTGTGCGGCTTAAGACGCTTCGCTGCATATCAGGAAACAATAGGTAAGAAGTATTGCGATCAGTGGCAGTAATAACAGGGCAGTAATAACGGATTACAATGAGTCAGTAGACCATATAATGCCAATCTAATCAGCTCGTTATCGGCGTCACTGTTTGAACTTTGGTCAGTCCAACTCCGTGGAGTCCACGTGGACAAGTCCACCCCAGCGGGTCCATTACTTTGGGCCCGCGGCGGCTTCGCCGCCCGGGCGTCTCGGGCTTCCACGACTCAGTATGTATCACAGTACATAAGTATGTAAGTGCAGGCTATCAAAAATGAGAGAAACTTTCCTGAATTTGGGAGGAGTCATTTGATGGTCAGAGATCCAGGCGTCCAGACACAGCCAGATGCACGGAAGGATCCAACTGCCTCGAGCTGCCTCGTAGGACACTCGAGCATTGCTGCGATACCGTTCATGGGAATTGTAAGTCACGTGTTTCCCACGGAGGGAGCGGCATCGCCGGCTGCGAACGACTTATGGTGGACAAAGCCCTCCTCTCTCCCTCCGGTCGGAGTCGGGGATCCATCGTCTATCTACTCTGCTCGGAGAGGCGAGTCCTTGCCCTATTGACTACACGACATTCAATGCTCACCATAAAAACTCTCAGCTCGGCAACACCATGAGTTTGTCGACTCTTAACGAAGATGTCCTCCGTATCATCGCCGAAATGCTTTCCTCGACGGAATGCATTCCTCTCTCGTCGGTGTCTCGCCATCTGCATGCAATCGTACGGCGGTATGTGTTCGAGTCGATCACTGTTCGTAGCGAGGAACGGCTAGTCAATATGCACGACCACCTCATCCGCAACATCGACAATCGCCTGATCTGGCCTCGGGAATTGATCATCTACGGCCCGACGGGCAACGGCCGCTGGGAGGCTCCAGCCGTTGATGCGCTGGTAGGCATCTTCGAGCACGCGCAGGAGTTGAAGGCTCTGGAGCTCCACTGGTGTGAGGCGATGATTGACTGCGATGCACGTATCGGGGAGCATTTGGCTGCACTGCCGAATCTCTTGGACATCCGCCTGCTCGCCGTCGGGCCAAAAACACTCGATGTCCTTTGCAAAACGGTCAGCAGACCGGAGAAGGCATGTCTGTCATCCACCATGTTTTCCTCCAATCGTACTCTGCGACACATAGCTAAAGCCGCTGTGCTTGGCAACGTCAAGCGGCTCAGACTTCGTAACTTTAAATTCAATGTACTCTCTGAACTGCAGCTTCTCCCCAAACTCGCCGGGGCCCATCCACAGCTAGAAGTCCTGGATCTCGACCAGAGTGCCGTATATTCCTGCCTTATCCTGTTCCCCAACCTACGCAGGTTGACGATTCTCAATAGCAAATACAATGGCGAAAACCGCCTACAGCGCCCTGGCCATCCCGTGGAGCAACGACACTTGAATTACTTATCGGTTGAGCCGACCTACCTACATCTCATCCCAAGACTGGGCATCCATAGCGATTACCTGCGTCTAGTACACACCGAGTCGCAGGACTTCAGTGCTATGGACATTCTTGATGATTTTGTTCGCACCGCCGCCGTCCTGGAGTTGAGCTTGAACTCGACTCGGATTGAATGCTACACCGGAGCCTGCACGATATTGGCAAGGAAGATCTCAGCAGAACTATCAAGAACAAGGTACCTTATCTTGACGACCCAATGGCAGTCATATTCAGCGAGCCGGTGGATGGTATGCGACACATTCGCTGTCTCTAATTCGCGTCTTCGATACTCATACATGCTTGGCGATATAGCAGACTATCTCCTCTTCGCTACTATCATCCTCGCAAATCCTTTGCATACGGGTTCATGTGACCCATACAAACGAAGGAGAACCATCGCGCGAAACATGGCTAGCCTTGCTGCAGCGACTGCAGAGCGTCCACATGTCCTCGGTACCCTCGCTCCGGTTCTATTTCCAGCATATCGAGGGCACTGATAATCCGCGGATACCAAGTGTTCCCTCGTTAACCACCTGGGGGCGGGTCGAGGGCGATGGCGGTGACCGCACGCTGCAGCCGATCCCCAATTGGCAGGGCGAGAGGATCCATCGCTACCTGCAATCTCCGGAGTTCTGTCGTACGTTACATTTCGACGGTGAGTTGCACGTTTAGTGAGCGGTGGAAGGAGCGGCTTATTTTGCCATCCAGAGGACACGGCGCTGCAATACTCCGGCCGGTGACAGGCTGGGGAGCTAGAATGCCAAGTGAGCTCGGAAGGAGTGTTGGAACCCGAGCATCGTACTGTGTATCTTCATAGCTTGTATCGTGACTTCTGTACAGATGACAAGTTTACATCTGATCTTCAAACAGATATCTCACACCGTGGACGCCGTACTGCAAGAGCTCTCAGGCTGACGCGTCGTGGGCATAACTTGAACGCCGACTGACAGGGGCATCTAGTTTGTGGCCATCTGCTCTCGGCGCTTTAGCGAGGGCTATGTAGTTTGCGTGCGTGACTCCTAGACTTGACTCGGATGTGTTCATTGTCGTGACATTCAATACGATAGGGACATCGACGTGCCATACTGCCAGCAGCCAGTCATGGAATGACGACACGTGCAGGCGACTGCAGGCACTACATCGAGAGCATCGGATACCCCATCGAGATGCTCGAGATCTTCAAGTCGCCCAAGTCTGCGTTCGTTATCTCAACGGTCTTGACTTTGCGGATTTCTTGAACATGGGTTCGCATAGGTTTGAGGAGTTCTCCCTCAAGCAGTGGCTCGCGGTCACACCGCTGCACCTCGTTCAGGCGCATCTGAACGTTGGGGAAGAGTTCACGAAGGCCCTCGGCAAAGGTCACACTCCGATGCGTGATGGTCATGTACTGCAGTGAGTGCCTCCTGGCACCTTCCGGGACATTCTGCATGTTCTTACTCACGACGTTTGCAGGAATGCGGGACATGCAGTGAAGAACGCCTCAGGGAAGCCGTCTGCGAAGCTCTGAGAGGCCGTACTAGTACTAACGTGAGAAGCTGCTGCGGAAGATGTAAGTAGGCGTGTCTGTAATACCAGTATCCCTGGCTTGTGTCTTCCGTTCGTGTTCAATGATTGCGATATGCCGCCCTATGATAGGCACAGACACCCACAGTCACAATACGTATGCCACTCAACCATGTGTCGAGCCGGCATTGAATCCAGGCAGGACCAAATAGGAGGATCTCGCTCACTTCGTCGCAGGCTGACCACAATCGACATGATGCAAAGTCACACAGTCATACTTACCGGGGTCATTGCGGCGTCTTGACGAGCGTCAGCAGCGTGCTAACCTTCTGTCAACATAGAGCTCGGCCCTCTCGGACGATAAGGGGATTCAAAGAGGCATAGTAACTCGGCAGTCAGCGTGTGGTTTATCGAAGAGATATCGAACACAGCCTCTCCTCGCCATATAATACACGGCCTTGGTGCGTGCTCGAGGGTCCCTAGCCCCTTGTGCTGGCTCATCGCCCGCGATCGCGCACCGTATTGCCACCATGGAGGACATGATCAT